TCTTTATTTTCTATACGTATATTAACTTATCTACAATTATATATATACATATATCAAAAAACCACAACGTTTTGAAGGTTCTTCGCGCATGAATGTACCTATCGTACATGTCGGGCATCCGTACTTACGAGGTTTGTTTGAGAGCCAATATAAATTATTTGGATGCATTCAACATCTTTTGTCGCAGACCCTTGCCGTGTTCAAAAATGGTTGTCAAAACCGTACTCATGCATAGTGTCTTTTACTGACACTTTTTTTAACAACCCTTTTTGTTATTGGCAGGCATGTGGAGATGGACAGCTGGGCTTGTGTGTGTACCAGACCCTATTGCAGAGCATCGAGTGGCCCCAGTCACATCCAGGGTCAATACAACCCAATCTGTCAGTCACAGGGGTAGACACCGACCCACAAAGCATATATATAGCGCAGCAGTACGCGCAGCAAGTGCTCGAAGCACTGGGTATGGAGACAGAGCCCTCGAGTACCACGGGGGATGTGTGTAGAGATATATCTCTACCAGTTGCAAACGGGTTGGATCTGGCGTCACCACATACAAACGAAGCGAACTCGGAGTCTAGCACTATAGCCGCTTCTACCACACCGTCCCCACAACGGCCAATAGACTTTGTGGTCAGCGATGCCAGTGCACTCCCTTTAGCGGACACGTCGCAGGATGTCATTGTATGCCAGCATGGCTTGCAGTACTTTTCTGACCCAGCCACGTGCTTAGCTGAGATTAAACGTGTGTGGCGACCGGGACCCTCTGCGGTAGTATGTATCGCTGTGTGGGGGGATGCAGACGACTGTCCGCTCATACACCTGCCCACACATGCGCTTGATGTGGAGGTGAGATCCGTAAAAGATGGGGCACATAATACACAACACAGCCCGTCTAGGGATCATATTAAAGCAAGCATGCACGCTCGGAGTCCTGCTGGGCTTATTGCAGATGATGAGAACGTGGCTGGTAATGATAGCCGTATTTCAAAGGGAGTGCAGCGTAGTGCGGGTATAGGCGGTGTTGATAAGCCCTTGGGAAGTGCACGGAATGATCCCGGCCCTTTCGCCTTCGCTGATAGCGATTTATTGTTAGACGCTTTGCGAGCCAGCGGTCTTGCCACAGTTTCAAGTAACGGCGAAGCGCAGTACGAAATGATGACGGCAGTGATTAAGGTGAACTTCAGTTGCTTTAACGACTTCTTCGCTTTCGCACTTTCAGACGCCGCGCTGGAGTCGTCATTCCGATCGTGCCACGGGAAGGATAATTACTATGACTCGAGTGATGATGGTACGAGTCTGTCGGCTTCAACGTATAGTCAGGAATTGGCTGGCTTCAAACAAAATGTGAAGGCTCGCCTGTGGGAGGCTGTCTGTGCATATTGGGATGGTTCGGGTAGTGGCATTGTACCGCAAGACATGTGTGCAGGCGTTGCGGAACAAGACCAAAACACAGTACCGCTGACCGTCCCGTGTCAGTTTCACTTGGCGACATGTAGGAATCCTCGATAGAACGAACAGGCAAGGCATATATTAGAAGCAACCAAAAATACTATATGCACAAATGGATGGTGTATGGTGTATGGTGTACAAAAGTGACGAGACTGGATGGTCATATCCAGGTCATGCAGTACGGTGGGGTACTAGCGTATAGCCAATTCGAACGTAGTAGCTCGCACTGCTCAATTGCCCCAAAATACAGCAATTGAATTCAATTGGATCTCTGACATCTCATATTAGTTACACATGTCGAATGAATGAATCCTGTGTACACAGGTACTGAAAACAGCACACGTCGGAGATCCCAAAACCACAATTACGTCGTCCAGCTGACCATACATAATTCTCAAATACAAATGAGAATGATATGCGCGAGTGTGTGCAGCTGGCATCAAGTATTACGAATGAATCCTGTGTACACAGGTACTGAAAACAACACACGTCGGAAATCCCAATACTACAATTACGTCGTCCAGCTGACCATACATAAATTCTCATTTACAAATGGGAATGATACGCGAGTGTGTACAGCTGGCATCCTGTACGGTGATATGCCGTGAATCAAATATGGGCTATACACTGATAGCGCGTTGACCTCCCGTGTAGTATTAAATAGTGCATCAGTTTACTTCTAAATTATATTTATATATTTCTACTAATAATCACTCGCCATCGCAAGCCAGTTCATAGACCACCGACTGTGAATTGGAAATCCGAGTAAGCAAGTGTAATCAGAAGCGCATCACTTCGCTGTGAGTGCATGTCACATCTACACTCCACTTATAAAAGCTTCAAAAGCCACACCCTCTTCATACCCAGGGTAACCACTTGTTAGCCTACCATCTATACGCAATGGATTCATCTTCCGTTTTTCCCCCCACAGGGACGAGGTATTTCGCATACAGAGCCACAAAGGTTTTCAGGAAAATCCCAGGGTTTTTTTCTCACAAAAATTGATCTCATCCCCGTTACAAACTTTGCCTGGAGAAACGCGATGACGTAGTTGTAACATGTTCCGAATCAAAGCCATCCCAGAGAATCGGCATACTTGACAGTGCAGAATTGCACCCACCCGCCCACGGAACAGACAGTGCGATAGGTGCCCGTGGCCTCTTGGTATCAATCCATTGGTGCATATCGGTATGCGGTGGACCAGCTCTTTAAGTATAGCGATCTAACATTCAATTGTACATCACTTTGTAGAAGTGGATTCCCTCGACACCGAGGCAGTCGTAGTCTGTATCCTTGACCATGTCTATCCTGAATTCCTTGTCGGTGCCCTCGGGATCTTCGGCCTCACATAACTTGACGTTAAGCATGATATCAAAATTCATGCGATCGATATAGATCAGGTACACCACAGTCTTCGGCCCCGTAATGCGCTGCAGCGTCTCGACTAGTATATCGTGCAGACTCTCATCATAGCACAGATCTGCGCATATGATGTAGTCGTAGTCGCCGTTTGTTTGCATCTCTTGCGCGATGCCTGACTCTTCGAACCCTTCGACACCCCATCCCAGTGCCGTCACTCGACATGCCCCCTGCAGATTGGAACAAGATATGTATGTACCTGTGAACTTTGCACAGTATTATGCAGAATGCACATACCGTTTCAAATACAAATAAATAACTAGTACCTCTACCTCGCGGCACGGACGGGTTCGACTGCAATGGGTGGCAATGCATCTGTCGCTACGACCTGGAGATATATCGTAATCTAATTTTTAGTGAATGCTAACCGTAATTAGGAGGACCCGAAGCGGAGCTTTGCGCTCTACACAGATGGGCACCACATATATATCCACACAGACCGCACCCGCTAGTACTTGTGCCTAAATCATCCTCTACGCATTGAACAACAGCATCACTCGTACCAACCTGTCTGTCTATAAACGTAAAAAACATATAAAACATCCAACAAACATATAAAACACCCAACAAACAAATTTAGACACAAAGACAGCACGCCATTAACGTCCTCACTACGTACCGAATCAGCATTCTTGTTTTTCTCGCAATTCTCATCCAACATGGGCAATGCAGATGGAAGGTCTGTGCAGGTCACGCTAGCTCCAGCCCGGCTCAAAGCTATGCTGAGCAGTCCCACGCCAGCACCTAATTCTAGAATCTTCTTATCCGCAAAGGTTTCCGGGCCCAATTTCTGCGCCCACCGAATGAGATAACATACATAAATGCCCAGGAAGAGTTACACAGGGAAGGAAGCGAGGTCTCCTTCATTTGTGAATGCTTATACTTCGCTTACTAGACATGCTGTGTATTGTGCTCGGTTGCGATGCACATCATTCAGTTAGATCGCGACAACTTAGTAAATTGGCGCAATTGAAGTATGCAAATTGGAAATTAGATTACCCGTACGCGGTCCAATGCGACTAAAATCTCAAAGAAATAATCTGGACGGACTCATACCCACCTGAAAGTAGTCCAAGAGTACAAGAGAGACACTCCACAGTTTACCCGCCACAGAACCCGAGTCAGTTTCCGTGGCAAGAACCACTGGCTTGTTGAATACGTTAAAACGCAATAAGCCGTCGTCATCCTACAGCAGTAAGCAGTGATCATATATGCGAGTGCCGTTAGTTTGTGCATTCAAAATTGGCACACACGGATGTCATGAAGATATATCTATATTCGTTTGCAAACTTGTACTTGTACTGTAGCACATAGAATTCTTTCCGGGAATCAGCATGTGACAAAAGTCGCAATTATATGCATGTCGAACCGTACAATGGTTTGTAAGACCAAAAAACCCTGGGGAGTTCAAAAATAAATTAATACATTATCACGTGAATGAGAAGGAATATTTGTAGGAACCTTCACGGCGGTAATAGTCAGATATCGATGTGCCTATAGATAATAGATACGCGAATCGTTGGGCAAGATACATATCGCAACACGCACCCGACAATAAGCACATGATATCGGGAATGAATATATATGAATGTAAATGTATAGATACTTCATTCTTTAAAAAATTCGCTTGGTGTTCGAAATGTGAATAGCGAGACATTGTCGACAAATAGTCGAAAACAAACATAACAAACGCACTTTCATACACATGCATACGTTTAACCACAAAATAAATCCAATACATGTATACATACGCGCGTACGTATATTATAAAATAAATACGCGTAAACACACACACACACACACA